CGGGGCGGGCCCGCACCTGCCCGCGCCGCGCGGAGCTGCCGCGAGCGGCCGCTTCTCTTCCCTGTCCTCATTTCTAAGAGATTTCGCTCTTTGTGTTTGTTTTTCGGCGTCTCTCCACCACAAAGCTGACTGGGTATCAAGGCCCCAGCGCTTCAGACTTAATTTTGGAAGACAGTGTCCGCATGCAGAATATATCGAACAGAAAGTACTTGTAACATGAGCAGTGTCTCCGTGAGCCACAGGGCGGTATCACAGAAGGCAAAGTAGGAAGTTCTGTTTGCCACAGTGCCAGAGAGAAAGAGTTTTAAGAAGAAGGCGAAACACTCCGAGGGTTATGTGAAGCACAAGGCCTGAGTGTGAAATCCAGAGCCTTTCAGGGAAGAAGGTGCCAGGAGAACAAGCTGCTATTACGCTAGAAAACAACTGAAATGGATGTTATCAGTAAAATGCAGATTTGGTAATAAACTGAACACGTTCTTCACGTCAGTTCAGCTGCAACAGCACCAGCCCAGCCCTGGGGCCCAAGCCCTGTATCAACCATTCTACAAGTGGCACCATGAGATGGTCAAGAGAGAACTAATTGGGCAAAGTCCGCTTCCAATTTCTTTCTGACCTTTTTTTTTTTTTTTTTTTTTTTTTGCTGTTGCTGGTCACTTTTCTACCATAATCTATCCCCTTCTTCCAATTTCAAATATTATTTTTGCCTTCCGAGTCTCTTCATATTCCTTCCAAGCCGCCACTCCTAGAACTCCTCCGTTTTCCAACCATCCCATCCCATCTTGTCATTCCCGCAGTTTCTTTTCTGCGTGGCTGCCTACGCTGCCTGCATTCATAGCAATAAGAAGTTTAATGATGGAGGCAGAAATAGGAGCTGGGAAAACACGCAGAGTGGAAGGGCAGGAGAATGGTGGGCGGATACAGACTGCGAAGGGACAGAATAGAGCACATAAACGATCCAGGAAAGAAAGAGTTTCCTCCTTTTACAACCAAACCCCTCCCTGGAATTTCTCATAACCTAAATAAAACACAGCAAACTATTCAAAAGGCAAATGTTTATTAGGTACATTGGATTTAAAAAAAAATCAAAGAATTATGCAAGAAATATATTTAAATATAACAAGTAAATGTTATTGCTACTGTGCTACATTACAAAATCACCTTTCTACTATCAGCACAATCTGATGATCTTAATGTTATGTGCAAGATAACATTACATTGACCCTGGCACACGCTCAGTCATCTCAGTTTGTTGTTCAGATTGCATTTGTGCTGTACCAGGTTGTTCTTGAAGACGAGATTAGCTCTTGGTGGAGCTAAACCTTTGACATTTCTGTAAATAAAGGAACTGGCAAGGAATACAATGAGCTGCTGTTTTCCTTAGCAAGAACAAAAATCAACACGTATTCCAGGTGAAAAGAAAGTATCATTTGAATACTAGTTAAGTAGGTTACTTCTCTTTCAATGGCCAAGTGGCTCCTATGAATCTGACTCGGACTTGCTACAGGTTCACCGAAAGGAGAACAGCCCCACAGGTCCAGGTTTTACACAAATGAAATCAATAATAGTACATTTTATTCAAGTCTCTTATTTTGCTTATTGCCATGCTACACCGTATTATTGCTTTAAGCTATGTTTAGGACAAGTCAGAGTGTCCTGAAATACGGCAAAAGTTACTGACTAAAACAGGAAACCATATACGAATGACAAGAAGACAAAACTCCTTTGCCAGTGAAGGAGTACTGAAAATGAAAAATAAGAAAGAAAAATACTGATTTCCCTAGATTAAATCTGCCATAACACTGGAAAAAATAAGTATTTAGGCATATTCTGAATAAAGGGTTTACCTGTTCTTCTGGTTAATGTTTGGCAAGACTTACTTCTCTTTAGAAGACATCAGCAGTCCAGACAGTAAGACTAATCCTAATAAAATATTAGGTAACAAACCAGAAGGAGCAACCCACACTCAATTTCATAATATTCAGATAAAAAATGTGAATTCAAGGCACAGTTATTTTCAAAATCAACACATTATTTTCTTTGGAACTAAAGTGATAATTACATTAATACGCTGTACATAGGAGTTTTTATAGGTATCATTTATAACAGAATTACCATAAAATAATCACAAAATTACTCATGTGCACACAAACATGAGCAGAGACTGGAGCACTACAGTAGAAAGAAAGGCTACGTCCCTGTAAATAGAGCTTTTATACAGTAACACTATTGAGGATATATACTCAGAGTAACACGATTTTATACATAAAATGTGTTAAAACAGAGAGGTGACACGAGGCCTGTGTGTGGAGAACTTGTGATCACATCTGGGTGGGGTTGGTAAAAGGCTGCCTGCCGTGTTGGGGTTACTGATAAACGGACAGCAAGATAGATGTTTATTAATGCCATCTGAAATAACAAAACCTTAAGGAAATTTATTTGCTGGACACATTAAAAAAATAGTCTGGTCCCCAACCAGATAAGCAAATTTCTCTTAGAAATCTTCTCCATTTCATCACTTTCCAGCCTCATTTTCAGCATTGCGCACATTTTTTTAATCAGGCACCCTTTAATGTGTACTGTCTTGTGTGCATAAGAGTCCACGTTCAGATGAAAATATTCCTATTGCTTCAACGTGATCAGGTCTATTGAAATTCTCAATCTGTTTGAATGGGCTTTCACCACCATCAGTGGCAGAAAAACCAGATGCACACATGGGGCTGGGCAGGGAGGAAAACCGTTTGCTTTGCCCTCAGAAGACTTGGACGACATATACATCTTCATCTCGCAGGCTGAACACAGGGAGTTGATAAATGTGAAATATTTTTACCGGCTGAGGCTGTGTCTGGAATTGCAGCTGTCCAGAAAGCCCTGTTTTTCAGCAAGCTGTGCACAACACACAAACCCCAAGTGCCGAGTTCTTCTCTGGCCTGCCAGAGCTCCAGCACACCAGCCTGCCCGAGCAGGAGGGACACCCGCAATCCCAAGAAACAGGACTGTCCTTGCAACTCAAATAAGCACAAAAACAGGAGAAATTGAGTAATCATCTGAGATAAAGGGGCAGACTCAGCTTTCTGAGGAATAGCTGAGGAACCAGCAAGCCTGGGTTACTGAAGCTTCCTGGAGCCAGGGATCTGGAAGGGACACACACCTCACCGTGCTGCAGCATGAACTGTCTGAATGCACAAAGGGAAGAGGCTCCATGAATTTTGTCTCTTTAGGCACTAACAGGAAGGAAACTCAGAGGTAAAGCCAACTATTACCAAGTAGTATTACATGTTTGACAGCTGAGAAATAAAGCGATACATAGTATATCTAAAAGCAAAGGGCCACAGGGTGCACTATAGTGCCATGCTCAACTTTCTAGACAGCAGCTTCAGCTGCAAAGCAGCACATTTCAGTTAATATCATATTGCAAAAGAAGGAAAAATTTCATTAAATTTCAACAGAGAGGATATGAAAAGGGAGAAAGAAAACATTTATTTTCACTTCTTTAATAGTAAAATACTTAAAAGATAATTGTTTAGTGAAGTACTGGAGAAGTGGCTGGAGTTGGTTTTCTGGAGTTGGTTTTTTTTTTTTTCCTCCATAGAGACTTGACACCTTTTTCCATGCATTGTTAGACTGAAGGTACATCTCTGAGTAGATGGTCACTACATTGGAGCTGTCAAACCTGTTACTCTTCACAGCAGAATTTTTCTGATTATAGTGGAAGATACTCAAAATGTTCTGTCCCAGAATAAGAGCAAAGAAGGGAAAACAAAACCAACCCACCCCGAAGTTGATGTCCAAGCACATGAAGAGCAATTAGGAAAATCCATAGGACAGTGCAAGTTTTCATCTTTGAATCCATCTATACTTAAGTGAAATGCATCGGAGAATAGGTGACTTAGGAAGTTGCATTCCTAAATAATATATCCTTCTAGGAAAATGGTATGTTTTCATTAAATCAGATTTGAATTGTTCTCTTCTAACACATCTAAAAATATTGTTTTAACAGAGCAGATCGTAAGTGCAAATCATTTACAGAGCCAAAACAAAACAAAACAAAACAAAAAACACCCACACAAAAACCTGACTGCTCTTTTAACAGAATCGTTGCAAGAATAACTGCCATTTCAGCAATACTCCACACACTTAACTGGTCAGCATCGAGTACAGGCTCCGAAGAACTGCAAGCTGGAATTTTCTTCTACATCTACATTTTTGCATTTACTGGTTCATTTAACAACTACTTTCAAAAATAACACATAACACTAACAGAGTACATAAATGGTTAGGATGACTAAACTCTAAACTGAATCTTCAAGATCATAAAAAGTAGTATCTTGTTATTTACACAGTATTGCAGTTTTATATAAACATGGAATAAATGATACCTAAACATACATGACATTATTCTACACTTACATGATGAAGAATGTTTAAGAACAGTTTAGCAGGATGATCAATGTTACAATCTTACTACAAATAGGAAGAAAATAACAAGGGAAAATTTTCCAAATGATATCTCTAATGAAGTGCTCCTATCATTTTTACATTTTCATTTACAAGGATGGGACAAGTTATACACAGTGTTAGTATTTATCAGTTACTGGGCAATTACCATTGCTATCAATGGACCTTATTCACAAGTACTGAAATTACCTTTTCAAAGCAACTTGGTGAGTAGAGACACAAGAAACTTGGAAAAGGATTAATTCATCTGATTCACTGTCTTGTATTACTGAATGGCTTTCTATTTAGGGCAATATGAATGCACATGCTCAGGGACTGATTTGCTAATTATACCACTGATATGCAGAGATTTGTATATTACCAATATTCTTAACATATACAACCACTGTTTGGTATTTAGCCAGAAACTGAAACTTGTGTATTTTCCTGAGGTTACAAGTTAATGCATCACAAAGTGCAGCTCCAGTGCTCTTTAAAAAGACATGAGTGTATATTACTGGAAGTGATGATTCTGAATTTGGTATGGCTTCACTGAAGGTAAGAATTTCCACCTCAAAAAGTACTCTGGGAAAAACAGATGGTTATAAGAGTCCTGTGGAAAAAATGATGTTCCAAAGATGCTGTGGTGCCCGTTCTCATCCTCCTGAGTAAGCAGAGGCCAGAGCCTGGCAGCAGCAGGGCTGCCTCTGCAGGGATTTTAGGGCTTTTTCCTGCCCTGGCATTGACCAACTTGCCTTCTGGCTACTGTCCTCAGATTCCCTTGAAAAGGAGTTTCTCATGTTTCTAGTGATTAGCAAGAACTTGGTACACAGACGACCCTATTTGTTTTCCAACCCTCAAGTGCTATTTCAGTTTTCATTAAATTGTGCCTCAGCTGTACAACTGTCTACTGAGAAGATGACCTTGTACAGAAATCAAGGAGAACTTAAAAGAAGCATCTTCACCAGAGGAAAAAAAAATAAAGGAAATAAAAAATAGGCCCAAATGCAGAAGCCTCGTACGGTTCAAAATTCACAAAACCCTGGGCTTCAAAATTAGCCAGAAGATGCTACATAGCAGTTACCAGGTCCACAGGCATTCCTCGGTTATATGAAGGACTTCAGGAGCCTCTTCGCCTACGGCCGAGTAAGCTATAACGCAGGACAGCTGAACTGCTGAAGGTGACTCTTTGAAGAGAGGCGAAGAAATACTCAAGGGTCACTCTGGACCTTTGCAGATGAGTTGTTGAAAGAATAATTTGTAAGCTGCAGGGTGCAATCTGAGCCCCTACCTCCAGCACATGATTTATAGTGTGATTCAGAGAAGCACAAGAACACACACACAGTTAGCTGGCCTTAGTTCCTTGTCGAGTTTAGAGACATTCCGTGATGAGCAAAGAGGGAAGCCAGGAACCTTCAGACTTCAGCTGTATTGTTCAAGATTGTAAGCACAGGGATTCAAAACTTGCTTAACAGGTGTGTGCCTGCACCCCCGTGTTCACTAGTTTTCCATGTCGTGTAGCCTTGTACTTCTGCTAAGCATTTAGCAACACTATGAATAAGGCCCACAGTGTTACAGCGTACAGTCCTCACTGCAGTATGTTGCAGTAGCACAGGGAACAACCAAGATGTCACTATTCTCCTTCCAAGGAAATCCAAGGAAAGCATTCCTCAGAGATTCTTATATTTTTCCTATGTAGCTGAATTGTTTGTTTGTTTTAAAATCACAAAACATGCATGATCTGAAATAATATCTACTTGGTTACGCCAAGTAATCTGCTCGTAAGAATGCTGCAGAAATGAATTATTATTATATAAGCTTTTTTTTTAATCCTAGGTAATAATTATCCTAGATAATTCTTTGAAATTTACTTGCCAATGCATCTTTTCAGTTAGCAGAACCTGAAACAACTTGTAGCCATTGCTTCTTAGGATACAGGCACAAACACCCGTGAAGGCACTTCCCCCACAAAACTTCCAAGCTTTTAATTGCTAATCACACAGAGGTCAAAACTTCCTGAACCCCAGTGCAAACTACTAATACTGCAGTCATCAGAGCACACGGCATATACAGCTAAACTAGGGCTAGCAGAGAGATTTGTAGACTTGTCTTTCTTCTTTTTGTTTAATTGTTTTTTGGTTGGTTGCTTGCTTGCTTTGAAGGCACAGGATACAGTTTTCAGTTGACAGTTAAGTTAGGGAAAGGACATTTTCCAATTTCAGGAATCTTTAAAAACCTGTCCCGCAGCAGACCACTGGATTCATTCATGCCATCTCCTTTTTGTTGTTGTTTTGTTTGTTTGCTTTACAGTTTAAAGCCTTTTTCATTATATCTATGAATTGTCACACAGCCGTGGTACGATACTGGCCTGGGCATGGCTGCCACTCCTGTGATAATGCCTGTCGCAGGGTCATAACAAAGGATAGTGTCTGTGGCTTCCCCATTTTCTCGTCTTCCACCAAGGATATATATTTTTCCATTACACACAGACATGCCACAATTCTCCTGTTTCAAAATATACAAAGGAATACATGGTTATTTAAAAAGCAAACCTTCCAGTTCCTGAACATCTACCACTGTGCGGAAGGACAGCACTGTGACTCGTTTGTAACCGGACTGGGTTACACTTTTCACTTCCAGAAGGAGCAATGCAGAACACAGAACAGCTGGGAAAGCAGCAGCACCACTCAGCGAGGGCCATTTCAGGACTAAGTCTTCAGGGCAGATAGCTCCGACAGGGAATAGAGTGCAGTACTTAAAGATTAACACTGAGACATCTGAGATAAGGAAAGGAGCAGAGGGAGAACAAGGGCTTTCAAAAGGGAGACACAGCAGATGGTATTAAAGCTAAAGTGCTTCTCTGTGTTCCCACTTTTTGAAGAGCAGCAACAGATAGCAGGGAGAAGCAGGGGGGAAGGAAAGTTTGTGCCTAAGGAAAGAGTATATAAGAAAAGGCAATACTATGTCTTGCAGGAAAGGAAGCTAGTCCTCAAAAGCTGACACAGAAAAATAATCAAATGGAAGTCACAAAAATCAGGGAGATGAAGAGGGGGAAAGACAAAAAAAGAAAGAAAGAAAAAAAAAGAACAAACCTCTGTCAAGATAGGTACACTAGGGTGTGTAATTGGCAGAGGCCTTAAAACACAGGAGAAATTAGCTGCTATGTATGTAAACTGTACTACAGTAGGAGCATGTATTTAAATTTTGCTCAGGGAGCTCTTTTTCTAAAGTGATACTGTTTGCACCACTTAAAGTCAGATTCCTTTTTATTTTATTTTTTTTTTACAGTGGGGGGGGACTGTGCAGTGCAGAAACACTTTTATTTTTTCTTGTGTTGAAAGAATTTAATCAACTATAAGGCAATTACTGCCTTGAGCCCAAATTAAAAGATCTAACAGAACTTGACATTGGTAGATACCCAAAATATTATCCATTAAACTGTTACACTGTTACCCAATAGTAAGTACTCTCAAATCAAAAGACTGAGCTGGCAAATGCAGTGGCATTCAAGGGAAAAGCTACTGGTTTCAAAACTTCCTTTTCTGCGAGACTGAATTATATAGATGAAAATACGTAAAGCAAGAATGCAAAGAGAGATGGAATTTTAACAATGATTTTAAACAATTCTCACTCATTTCATACTAAGATATCCACGTAAAAAAATACCTGTTAGAAGTATACATGCCTTTATTACCTGTCTGCTGAACGTATTCTGCACGTGCATCCAGTAGTCCTCAACTGGATCGTAGCAGTATATTGCTTTAGTAAGCCCCCCAGCAACATAGATCAGATTGTTTAATGACACAGCCGTAATGCATCTTTTTGCAATTGGGATAGTCGCACGGAGTAGCCAAGAATTAGTATCAGGATCGTAAGACTGAACCTGAAAACAAACACATGTACTTGAGATTAAAAGCCTAATTAAAAATTACTCTCTAGCATACCCTCACACATTATAGAATTAGAGTCAAAGAAGGAGTACCTTGTAGGCAATACCTCACCAGTAAAATGAACTTAATATAAATATAGGCTCGTGCATCAATGATGCTTTTATACACTCCCTGTCCCAACTCAGCATTGTTTTTCTAACCATTAGGTTCCAGTATTTAGATAGTTTATTTAATGTGTCAAGTCTGTGAAAATAACCAGGACAGAGACCAAACAAAGTAACAGAAAAAACAGTGTATCAATGAATTAACATTTTCTATGTTGTATGTTTTATAATCCAACAACCCAAAACTCCAGTCAGCAAGCCCAGTGAAACGGGTCTCTGCACAGTGTGTTTTTAAGCCAGCATGACCCATGTGTAGAAAACAGAGGCAAACGCAGTTAACTGACCTTGTCTGAACACGTGTTGTCATCAGGACCACCCCCGATCACAAACAGTTTGCCGACGCAGCTGGTGACTGCTGGGGAGCTCACAGCTTCTTTAAGGGGAGCCACTTCTGTCCATCGATTGGAAAAGGAATCGTAACACTCGACACTGCTGAGTCGGCTTTGACCATCGTATCCTCCAACAACATAAACCTAGCAAAGTGGTGAAAACTATCACTGTTCCACCTTTAGAGTAGCATAACATGTCTATAAAAAAATAAAGCTGCGTGAATCCCAATTGCCAGGTTTTCCTCCACAATTTCAATACAGAAGAGTAAAAAAACAACGACCTAAAAAGTAATAGATAAAAATTCTCAGAAGAGTTTCCATTCAGTCATATGTGGAATGAAAACTGTAAACAGACATCTGGAGGATGGTATTATAATCCAGAAATAGAAATGCCATATTTGAATGGGGTGTGTGCACTGGTGACTGCAAATTATATTCAGCAACAGCAGAACTGAATCAGATTTACCTTTGCTTTTCAGGGTTTTACTTCTTTCCCACTTGCTTACAAGAATGACACTTCTTCCTCCGCCTCTGTCTGTAAGCCTTCCTTGCCTCTTTTCCCGTTGCTTCTCTCAAAATCGAGCAGCACAGCACATTACCATTTCTGCATCTACCTTCGTGCCCCTCTTTGCTCCACCCATAGCTCTCATCTCGAAGAAGTTTTTCACTCCAGGAATCCCATCACACATCTTCACTAAATCTCATTAATGGAATCTCTGTGGGCTGTCAATCCCAACTATCGGTTTTATGTTAAATGATAAATACATAGGTCTTCAAAATGTAATAAAACTCCCACATTTTCATTACAGTGATGTATTTGGCTGATATTTTCAATATAAAACACCAAGTAAAAGGGCACAGAAATGCCACTCAGCAGTAGCAGTTTCCTGTTAGCAAATGCATAAATAAAGACAGTGACTGGTAAGTAAAATTAGCTGAAAGTAGTCTTGCATTATGTGGACAAATACTTTTGAAAACACTTTGAAGCACAGCTGAATTCTGATGCATTTTGCTTTCAAAACAAACAAAAACAACAAAAAGAGCTTCTTCAAGTCTGACACTTCAACAGAAAAAAAAAATCACAAAATATAATAAATAACCAAAGGAAAAAATGATTTTCATGTCTATGAATAGTGTCTGACCACCTAAGAACATTAACTATTTGTTTTCAATATTATTTAAGATTTAAAATATTTTTAAAGATCTAAATTTGATAGGGAAGCCAAAGTAACACTAATTACTTGCATCTGTTTCCTACATGATTTGCTTATTTGGGGACCACACGATTAAAATAAGTTATAAATATGCTTCTCTTACTTTACCAAGAAGAACAGCCATTTTGTGACGCCATCTGCCTTTATTTAAGGAGGCCACTCTGATCCAAATGTTAAGCTGAGAGTTATAAATCCACACATCTCGGCTATTGATTCTTCCACCTTTAAAAAAAGGATATGCCAATTTATCTTAGAATAAATGAATTATTTATCAAGAAAGCCTGACAATTAACAGACCATTTTACAGAGGACAATGAAAACGTTATGTCATTTTTATGTGGCAAAAGATCTATCTTTATGTTAGGCTTAAGAAGCCATTTTCAGTGAATTGTGAGAGACAAATCCACAGAGTTAAGTTATTTTACTCCCACCACTCTTTCATGGTAACATGCTGATAATGCATTAAATTATTTCTTGAGCCTGGATTGTATTTCAAACGTTTTTGCTCATGCTCTTCAGATTCCTTTGAGTGTTAAGACCTGGATGAGACACCTGAACGGAAGTCTGAACCATCTGTACCTCACGAGGCACATCCCTAACACGAGCTGTTGTCCCCTGGTTGGTTGGGCATACATTACTGCTGAACTCTTACTGCTGAAATGATCAAAAGGCAGAACAAGCTGCAGAAGATACATCAGTTCACCCACAGAAATTACACTGCTCGGTCCACCAGTTTTTGGCACTGAACGACACAGTTTACCCTTCCAACGCACTGAATGAGAGGTGGTGAAGAACTGACAACTGTTGCTTATTCACTGGAAAAAGCTGGTGTAAAGGGATCCCCAACTCAGGTGGCAAAAGCCTAGAGGGGTTTGTTTGCATCTGGAATTTCTATGCTGAAAAAAAGCTTTAACTGTTTTCCCTTTGGAATCCAGGCAGCCATACAATAGAAACAAGGCAGCAGCAACATACCAGCACTGCACTGCTCCTAGGCAACTGCTGTTTGCACCAGCACATGCCACCTTTTGTAGCAGAGAAAATGCTGCTGGCAAAATATTGCCTGGGATTTTCTTTTTTTTTTTTTTGCTTGTCATTTTTCCAACTATCACTTTTCCAAAGTTGCTGCAAATGGGCCATCAAGGCTTTTTAAAGTAGCTTACTTGAGCGGCCTGCAGGAACATATCCTCACCTCCCTAAACACAATTCACACTGGCCTCAGGTGTAAAGAAAATAAATAAATAAAATAAATAAAGGTTGATTTAAAGCAAAAATCCCAGAAAACACTTGTGGCTCTAAAAAGATTGTCCCAGGGTTTGTGTTCAGCATTTACATCAGCAAATGACTTTCAACAGAGCTTCTGGAAGTTCAAAGTGCCAAGATCTGTCATATCTCTTTAAAAAGCCAAGAAAACGAGTCTTATGTAGTTATTCACCTGAAACAAGGATATCATTCCGCAGGGCGCACACTGCATACTCGGACTTGGTAAACTCTGGAAGTTTGGCCAGCGACTTCCACTCTCCTGTTACAGGATCGTAGCACTCCGTATACGGCAAATTAAACCCTCCAACTCGCTCGCATCCTCCGACAACAACTATCACCTCAGAATAACCGGTTGATCTGAAAAAGCAAAACCAGGTAACTAAGGTTGATTAATACACGGAGGGAAACCAAACAGCATTGCTTTCAAACATATACAAGGTCAGAAAATTTACTAACGTAACATTAACTTCTATGGTGGGGGGAAAAATAAATCACTTGAAACGCTTCTGGTTTTTCAGCGTTGCCAGGTGCCCCACTATATAGCAGGTTACCACAGCAGTTGGTTTTCCAGGTAGTGGTGGAGTCAGAATGCAGAACATTCTCTGTAAAAGAGCCAAGCATTTAAAAATACAGGAAGCTCTCACTCTTTAGTAATGTTTCTTTTCCTTTAGCTGGGAAAATAGAGATGTCAGAAAAAGTTGAAGCAAGACCTGAAACAATTAGATGTGCAAATCTGGTACAGAACTTCAATAATCAACCAATCCTTCAGACAGAAATCATTTTGTTTTCCTAATCAGTTTTGGAAAATTTACTATAGCACTGTCATTGTGTAAGTATTTCAAAAGCCTAAAATACCTTCAACGCAGTGTAGGTGATTTCCTGAGAAAAGCTGAAGGCACAGACTCACCAAAGGAAAATAGAGAAAACAAATCTCAGAACTCAAAAATAAAAATGGATGAAAAACGTGAAAAAGTAGCATAGTGATAGAAGGAAGCATTGAGGAATGCTGGAATAAAAATTCAAACCTGAAGGAAAACCTAAACTCGGATGTGAAATATTAAGTAGTCAGTATACCGAATCAAGCCTTGAAACCCTGTTCAGTATTCTGATTCACCTTCTACTTGACTTTGCGAGAAAATATGATACTTCTGCATTCCACATACTGTGTTTATGTAAGAGCAGTAAATTACACTATATTCTTTTCAACATGAGAAGGTAGAGAATCAAACCACCACCTTCAATATATAAATCAAATCATGTCTGAATCCTATTCCTTCACTCAAATTTATACTTTTTTATATATAAGCAATGATCAAAATCTTTTCACAACTTTTGTAAATTAAATGAATTTACAAATAACTTGTATGACTATTTCAAGAATTGCTGTCTATTAATTAACTATAAGTTCATGCAACACTGACTTTATTTTTCAAAATCCTTTTTATAATGTCGCACTTCAACTTTTATCTCCATGTGAACGGAGATTTCTCTTATCACTGCTGATTTCTATAGTCCTCTCAAGAATTTGCATCGCCTTGTGACAGGGCATAAAATAAAAGTTGTGTGATCTGCCCCCAGACTTCCTAACATATTAAAGATATATTAACAAATGTTCGTGACATTTTACCCATTTTGAAGCATCAAGAAAAAAAAAAACCTAAATAGCTATTCTATCTCCCTGTCACCACGTGCTGTAAATCAATTAAATCTTCCTGTTCCAAATACTTAGGTCAGTAATCACAGAATCACAGAATGCTTAAGGTTGGAAGGGACCTCTAGAGATCATCTAGTCCAACCCCCCTGCACATGCAGGGTCACCTAGAGCACGTGGCACAGGACTGCGTCCAAGCGGGTGATAAATGATAATGCACTATAAAATAATATCATGAAGGTATATGAGGAAGCATATTTACATACCTCAACTAGTCAGAAGAAATACGTGAACCACTCGGGTGCTGGTTTCCATGCATGTTGTGATACCATGTAATATGCTTTTTTGATGAACAACTT